CCTCTTCCACCAAAGTTTCCACCACGGCCAAAGTTACCCCCACCACCTCCGAAGTTTCCTCCGCGACCCATAAAGTTGCCAGATCCACCTCCACGACCTTTAACACATGCAAGGAAGATACTTAAGAACCCTACCAACACCACTCACATTTATTGTGTAAGTATATACGGAACTACTTACCTCTTTGTGATCCAGCAGACTGCATTTCTTGTTTAGAAAGGGCCTTTTTCACTTCACAATTATGCCCATTTATAGTGTGGTATTTCTGAACTAAAAAATTTTTAAACCAAACAAACAAAAGTTATTTGATGTTTGAAAAAGCATATAAATGATAGCCTTTAGCACAACATAACTAAACTATCAAGAAAGTAGTGACTTCTGAGTGGGGATGAGGGAATGTTGTTAACATTTACTTCTTGATCCGGAAGCTGGTCACACAAATGTAATCACTTTATGTAAACTGAACTATATACACTTTATATACTATTACATACAATGCAAAATTATAAGCAACTTAGCAAATTTAGTATCGAATAAAAAGCCATTTCTACTTTCTCATTCAAGTTCTGAAAAATTGCTACTTACCAACAATTTTATCAACTGTATCATGATCATCAAAAGTTACAAAAGCAAATCCTCTTTTTTCCCCACTCTGCCTGTCTTCCATAACTTCTATGGTTTCAATCTTGCCATACTTTTCAAAGTAGTCTCTCAAATTATATTCTTCTGTATCTTCTTTAATACCACCAACAAAAATTTTCTTCACTGTTAGATGGGCACCAGGCTTTACAGAATCCTACAAGTAAAAAAATAAAACACATAAGTCAAGAGATCAACTTTTTACAACAATTTCACGTTCTATAAAATGGTATTATTAAATACCTCTCTAGAAACAGCTCTCTTTGGTTCCACTACACGCCCATCAACCTTGTGTGGTCGAGCACACATGGCTGCATCCACCTCTTCAACACAAGAGTAAGTAACAAAACCAAAGCCCCTGGAACGTTTTGTTTGGGGATCTCTCATCACCTACAAAATAAAAAATTTAAACATAGAAACACATCTACACAAGTCCTCTACCCCTAAGAATTTTTTTTTGGTTCCTTTAGTAACTTACCACACAATCCGTGAGTGTGCCCCATTTCTCAAAATGTTCTCTTAAACTATCATCCGTAGTTTCAAAGCTCAGACCACCAATAAACAGTTTTCTCAACTGCTCTGGTTCCTTTGGATCATGGCCCT